AGGGCCGTCTTGGAGGCCATCTTGGGCGTCTTAAAGGCCTCCTGGGCCGTCTTGGGGGCCTCTTTGGCCCGAAAAGAAGCAACTGCCAAAATCCTTCAACAACTTATGGGAAATCAATGTTTTTGGCATCTGATTCGCCTTCCTGGAGGCCCTCTTGGAGGCCTCTTGGGCCGTCTTGGGCCAGCTTCGAGCCAGCTTCGGCCATCTTGGTGGGTTCCTGGCCCGTCTGACGCCGTCGGGAGCCGTCTTGGGGGCCTCTCTGAACCGACTTGGTGTCCTCTTGGGGCGTTTCGCGGCCGTCTTGGAGGCCATCTTGGGCGCCTTGGAGGTCTCTTGGGCCGTCTGGGGGCCCTCCTGGGGCCGTCTTGGGGGTCTCTTGAACCCTCATGGGGCCCTCTTGGAAGCCTCGTGGGCGATCTTGGGGTGATCTTGGGGGCCTCTTGGGCCGTCTGGAGCCGTCGGAAGGCCGAAAAGAAGCGAATGCCAAAATCTTTGAAAACATTAATCCGTAGCCATGTTGGCTCAAGTCATTTTGGCTTACATGCGATATGCGAATATGGCGTGCTGCTGGTATTCTGGGCGTGTGGTTTTCCGTTCTTGCAACACTTCTATCTCGCTGTCGCTTCTTGCGTGAATGCCCGCTGGGCAGGAATCGGCGCAGGTGTGCATTGCTCTCGCTGTGGGTGCCAAGCGAGATCGAGCTTTATCATTTGGCCACGCGAAGTGAGGGAGAGTATATGGCACGTCGGAACTTGTCGGTTGATATCTTAAATCATTTTCTCTCACCATCGGGGAAGGCCGTTCCTATCCCCAATAAAGGGCAGAATGTTGACGATTATGTTGGCAGCTTCTTGTGCATCTCTGGTTGGTTTGTTCATGTATGTCTACGTGTTGTGCCGGTTTGTCGCGGTATCCGTCCTGGCGCTTCACAATCAGTGACCAGAGCGCTAGGTCTGCCGATGGGGATGAAGCACATGTAATGTCTGTGCCCTTGCTCGGGCGAACAAAAAATTAACAAATCCCTCAAAACATTAAGGAAACTCAGTAATGTTGGCCTCTTCGGGCCCTCCTGGAGGACCTCTTGGAGCGTCTGGGAGGCCTCTTCGGGGCCTCTTGGGCCGTCTTAGGTCATCTTGAGGTTATCTTAGGCCGTCTTGGGTGCATCTTGGGCCGTCTTGGAGGCATATGGGGACCATCTTAGCCGTCTTGAAAGCCTTCTTGGGCCATCTTGGGGCCGTCTGGGGCAGGAAAACCTTTTGCAACCAGTTCTGTCGGGTGGCCGGCGGGACGGGCCGAAGCCCCAGGGGGAGTTTTTTTGGAAAAAGAACCAAAACCAAAACCGTTATAGTCTGGCACGCCTGTGGCAAGCCAACAGGGGGCGGCGGATTTCATTGTCTTCGGCTCATCCCGCCACCGTGCCTGGGTGGTGGGTCAGAGTTACACGGATGTTTTTCGAGGTCTCTTCGCAGCGCTCTCAGGGGCCTCTTGGGTGCAGTTTTGGGGCATCGTCGGTGCAGTTTTGGAGCCTCTGGGGGACCCTTCTTGGGGCCTCTTGGAGGCCGCTTGGTTGCAGTGTTGGGGCATCTTGGGTGCAGTTTTGGGGCCTCTTGGAGCCTCCTGGGGCTCCTCGGGGCTGAGGACTCGAAATGTCCACTCGGGAACCCCATCTGGGCCCCCTCCTCTTGGAGCCGTGTTTGGAGCTTTCGGGCCGTCTTGGAATCGTCTTGGGCTGTCTTGGGGCCCTCTTGGGCCGTTTTTGGGCCCTCTTAGAGGCCACTCGGGCCGTCTTGGGGCGGTCATGGCGGCCTCTTGGGCCGTGTCTTGGAGCGTCGGGAGTTCGAAAAGTCGAACGCGCCCAAATCGTTAGGAAAGCCCAACGTCGAAAACGCCCAAATCAATGTTGCCTCTCGGGGCCCTCTTGGGGAGGCTCTCGGGGCTCTCTTGGGGCGTCTCGGAGGCCTCTTGGGCCGCCTTGGGGCCATCAGGGGCGTCCTTGTGTTTTCTGGTGACGTCGCGGGGCCCTCTTGGACCGTCTCGGGGGCCGTACTGGGGCCCTCTTGATTTATGTCAGGCGTGTCCCCCTACAGGGGGATTTTCAAAGAAAAAACCATATACCAAACATGCACCAAAATTTCGCTACCGAGGAACCCCACATATCTATTTTGTTTCCCATGTGTACCATCGGTGCTTCTGCTGCTGCTGCTCCTTCTCCTCCTCGGTGTCCTCATCCTGCTGCTGCTTCTGCTGCTGCTGCTTCTGCTGCTGCTGCTGCGTCTGCTGCTGCAGCTGCTGCTACTGCTGCTGCTGCTGCCGCCGCTGCTGCTGCCCCACCTCCCCGTCCTCCTCCTCCTCCTCCTCCTCCTCCTCCTCCTCCTCCTCCTCCTCCTCCTCTACCTCCTCCTCCTCCTCCTACCTCCCAGCGCACCCCCTGTGGCGTCGAGGACATGCCACGCCTGCCACACCCTGGGAGCCTGCAGCGCATAGGGCCCCCACCCCCAGCGCACCCCCTGTGGCGTCGAGGAAATGCCACACCTGCCACGCCCTGGGAGCCTGCAACGCATAGGGCCCCCACCCCCAGCGCACCCCTTGTGGCGTCGAGGAAGTGCCACGCCTGCCACGCTTTGCGAGCCCGAAACGCATAGGGCCCCAACCCCCCAGCGCACCCCTTGTGGCGTCGAGGAAGTGCCACGCCTGCCACGCTTTGCGAGCCTGCAAACGCATAGGGCCCCCACCCCCAGCGCACCCCCTTGGCGTCGAGGAAGTGCCACGCCTGCCACGCCCTGGGAGCCTGCAACGCATAGGGCCCCCACCCCCAGCGCACCCCCTGTGGCGTCGAGGAAATGCCACGCCTGCCACGCCCTGGGAGCCTGCAACGCATAGGGCCCCCACCCCCAGCGCACCCCCTGTGGCGTCGAGGAAGTGCCACGCCTGCCACGCCCTGGGAGCCTGCAACGCATTGGGCCCCCACCCCCAGCGCACCCCCTGTGGTGTCGAGGAAGTGCCACGCCTGCCACGCATTGCGAGCCCGAAACGGATAGGGCCCCCACCCCCAGCGCACCCCCTCTGGTGTCGAGGAAGTGCCACGCCTGACATGCCTGGATGACCGTCGTGCATAGCGGCCATATCGGGACGTGTCTCATGTGGGTGCCCACTATGTGGCGCACACGTCGTGGATGTGTGATGCAGTGAACACGCCAGGCGCGCACTAGCGTTGTATGTTGTGTGTGTTGTGTGCGAATGCGTGCATGCGTGCGGCTGTATGTAGACGCATGTGTCATGTACATGCCGTGCATGTGTTGAGCGCGGGTGAGGAGAGGAAGAAGAGGGAGGAGGGGAGGTGAGAAGACGCGGGTGCGCCGCGGCAGGGAAGAAAACCAGAACCCCACGAAACATGTGGGGAATTACCAAAACATGCTCAAAAATAGTCCCCAGTTTTTCTATTATTTCTGGGGCATTTTCTACTTTTCATCGAAAATCCCCCTTGTAGGGGGACAGGCCCGACTTAACTCTTGACCCGTCCTGGGGCCTTCTGGGGCCCCGCAGGAACAACAAAAAAAACAAGTCGCGCGGGCGGGCACGCCGCGGCCCGGGCGGCACGCGGCAGGCGGCCCGAGGCGAGTCGGCAGGTATGGACCGGAGGTGGATGGACCTCTTGCCCCGACGCGTCGATCAGTGAACTGTCCGTTTTCGGTCCTCGAGAGGGCGCCGCGGCCGTGGTTTTCCAGGCTTGCGCCCGCCAGGTTTGGGCCCGAGGTCGTTTTCACGAAACCACGTCTTGCCAAAGGGAGGTCTGTCCTTCCCCGATTTTTCCGCAGCACTTCGAAGCAGTGATGAGCAATGCAACGCAAGCCGTTGGCTGGCATTGCTCGGCGCTGCTTGGCGTCGTCGGGCCGGCCGCCGCGCGCGGCGGGCCGCGGCCCGGTCTGCTCGAGTGCGGCACGTTTTGCTAAAGGGGGGGCTGTCCGTCCCCGAGTGGAGCTCGGGCCCCTCTTTAAAGGATACCCCCAGGAGCGAAGACCGATGCTCAGGAGCAGGCCGGGGACTTGAGGACGCCCTCCTCCTCCTCCGCCTCCTCCTCCTCGATCCTAACCCCGATCCGCCCCCCTCCTTATTCTCCTCCTCCTCCTCCTTCTCGATCCTCGATCCTCGATCCTCGACCCACTTCGTGCCAAGCGGCTCGGTGGCGACCTCGTTTGTTGTGCATGCGCCGCAATGGTTCCTCCAGCCCTCCTGAGGAGATGAGTCCTCGTTTTCCCTCCGTCGCGCTGAGTGTCCGCCTCCTCCCTGTTTCATCCAGCTGCTGATATGCTGTCCGTTATGCGGGGGTGCGTGGATGGGGGGTTCTCCCAGGGTGGGCTTGGGGATCGAACCCAGCTGGATGTTCACATGTTCTTTCCGCCTCCAACCCCACCTTTGCCGATCCAAGAAATCCTAGATATCCGCGCGAATCTTCGAACGTTCAGGTGTATCCAGTGTTGGTTCCTCTATTTCAGTACACCCCTCGATTGCCTTCGTGTGCCATGAGGAGCTCAAGCTACGGCCCAGGAGGGGCGCTCCCGTGCACGTCCCCGCCCCACTTCGCCACGTCCTTCACACGTTATATGCGACACCGCCCACCACAAGTATTGATATATCGCACGCTGTGTGTGCGCGCGTGTGTGTGTGTGTGTGTGTAAGAGAGAGAATGTGTGTGCGTGCGTGCGTGCGTGCGTGCGTGCGTGCGTGTGTGTGTGTGTGTGTGTGTGTGTGTCGCGCGCGCGCACGCGCGACCGGATGGGAGCAGACAGAGGGAACAGGTCAACGGTACCAAACCAGTTGGGCGGATCGAGCGCACGAGTGATAAGAGGTAGCGAGGGCGAGAGAGAGAAGCATGATGCGGAGGGCTTGTGTGATTAGAAGGCGTGGCTAGCGAATGGCAACTGGCGGGCGACATGTTTGATGCTGTGATTTTGTAAGCACGCGTGCGGTTCAGAGCATCTGTATTCTTGCTGTCGGCGAAGGGCAACCAGTACATCGTGAATTGCAAGGTTAGTTTTGGTTTCTTTGGGTCCCGCTGCTTCTCTTTGGCTTCGAATGGCTCGTTGCAGTTCAGTCGATCATGGTTCGACGACGCGAGCGTGTGTTGTCCGTTCACCACTGCGGAGCACTGTAGGGCGGAATTGGGGATAGCATTACTGAGTGTGTGTACGTGTGCAAGTGCAGCCGTGTTTCAAATAGGTTCAGCATGCGTCATCTTCGTCTGTTGAATCCATTGTGAACCGGCGGTTGAGCCGGGCAGATGCCGAATGCATTGAAGATTTGATGTATGCTTTACGGTTGGGTGCACTTTACTGTTTGGCATCTGGCATCCATCGTCGCGCGCAGCCTTCGCGCCCAGGTCATTCGAAGTTGTTTCTCGAGGAGCACTGGACTTATATTATGCAGGCGACTCGCTGCTCTCTGTGGCCTGTCGGGTCGAGAGCTTCAGCTCTTGAGCCCGCAGGGCGGAGAGACACGGCGGGCCCCCGGGGGGCAGCTTGCACGCAGAGGTTGCAACCAGTGGATGCTCTTGGCATCGCTCGGACGTGCATGTTTTTCCTTCGGCGAGGACAATCTAGGAGCATCCTTGATCATCTGGCGAACAATCCACGCACGAAACTGAAAAAAACACCGGGAATGGACGTCCGAGCGATGGCCAGTGCTAGGGATGCTGCTTCGACGAGTGTCGAGGGAGGAAAGACCACCCGGACCGGACCATTGGCGTTTACTAAACGGCCTTGGGCGTTTACGAAACAGCCTTGCCCTGTTCGATTCCTCCTTTGGGCGCGTTTACTAGACGACTTCGCGTGTCGGGGTGGTTATTATGGGGATGGATGTTTTGACTTCTAGAGCGTCGGTGCTGATCGTTGCAATGTGTTTCTTTAGGGCGTCTTTGCGCCCCCCTGGGCAAGCAGGCGGTCTCGGAGGCAAGCTGAGGGCCTTTTGGCTTCCATGGGACACGGAGTGCGCGAGGGGTGTGCGGAATGGATGCTCCCAGGTTCCTACGAAAAAGCAACTGGGATCCACTCGTATTGCTTAGGCCTTACGGCCAGTGCCGCCGACCCTGGATACCTCGGCCCTCGAGGGTGACGGGATGCGTGCTAAGACGTCGGAGGTAAATGAAGACGTCGCGGAGGAGGAGGCGGAGGAGGAGGAGGAGGAGGAAGGGGAGGATGAGGAGGAGGAGGAGGAGGAGTAGAAAGGGGAGGAGGAGGAGGAGGATGAGGAGGAGGAGGAGGAGTAGGAAGGGGAGGAGGAGGATTTTTGTGTCTCCCAGGAGCCTCGAGGCCCAAGTCGATCGTTGTTTTGTTGCCGCGTGTTCCCCGGGAGCCCGAGAGCGCAGGTCCCTCGCAGTTGCACGGGTCCCAGCAGGGTGCACGCGGCAGGACAGTGCGCGAGGGGTGTCTAGAAGTTCGGGGGCGGCAAAGAGGGGGTGATGACTAGGGGGGGGATATCATGGCGGGGGCCATAATATTTCCCCAGGTTTCATGGCGCCTCTTCTTGCTTCATTCTGTCCCTGGCCCCTTCCGCTGGGCCGTGCACATGCCGCCGGTCATGATTTGCACACCCCCCTCTTGGACACCCCCCGCTTGGCCGCTCCCGAGAGTGGCGTCCTCCGTGGCCCTCGGAGCGCAGATCATCAGTGTTGTTCCCACGTGTCCCAGAAAAGTGTGGAGCAGGACGTGCGTGAGCGGTGTGCCGAAATGGCAGTGTCGTAGCCATGAATTTTACACGTCTCAGAAAAATGGTAGAGAGGAGGTGCGTGATGGGGTGCGCCGAAGCTGTACTTTCGCGGCCCCGAGGGCGCATCTCGCTCGTGCCTTCATGTGGCCCAGGAGCTGTCACGCTCGTGTCTTGGGGCCGGCGGAATCCACGAGGCCCCCCTTCAGCCTCTACTATACATGCGTCTCACTCTCCTCCATCCTCCTCCATCTCATCATCTACCCTCGAAGGCTAACGCGGCGAGGGCCCGCGCGGCACTCGCCGAATCGAGCCGCAGAGCGCGAATCACGGCGGGCCCCCAGGGGGAAGCTTGCACGCAGATGTTGCAATCAGTGGGTGCTAAGGATATTGCCTCGGCGAGGGTCGGTAATGATCGTTGCAATGTTTTTGTTTTGAGGCGTAGTTGCGCAACTTGGGGGGCTAGGCGGTCTTGGAGGCCAGCTGAGGGCCTTCTGGGGTCCATGAGACACGACGTGCGTGTGCGTGATGGGTGTGGTGAATTGAGGCGCCAAGCAGCCGTCTCGAGGACCAGCTGAGCGCCATCATTCACGAAGTGCATGATAGGTGTGCCGAATTGAGTTTCCCATCAACACGGAAAGGCAATCCATTTTCATTTTCAGATGCCCCAGTAGAGAGTGGAGCAGGAAATGCTTGAGTGGTGTCCCGACATGAAAGCTTGTAGCCATGAAGGGATCTGATCACTCGCGTTATAAGCGTCGCAAAATTATGTCAGACAGTAAATGCGTGAGGGGTGCGCCAGTACGAGGCTTCCGCAGCCCTGAGGGCACATCTCACTAATGTTTTCACGTGTCCCACGAGCTGTCACGCTCGTGAGCCTAGCGCTGGGAGCACGTTTCATTTGTATTGTTACGTGTCCCCTTGAGGGTCGTACGGACCCGGCCGTCTTGAGGCCGGCGGAATGCAGGTGGGGGCCAGTGAAATCCGCAAGTGCCTGACGCGATCAATATTTTTCCCAGTTGCACGTCTACTATCTGGCTGGGTGCATTTGGATGAGTCGCTTTGACTCATCAGATTTGTGACGCACGACCGTCCACCGCCGTCAGGAATTAGGATACCCTTCGGGTTTGTTCTCCGTGCGCTGTTCTATCAAGGTTTCCCGCTCTTCGTAGCCATGCTGGCTCGAGCCATTTGGACTGCAGCGTGGGTGTTCGTTAAGTTCATCTGTGCCGCGTGGGCCGGATCAGTCCTAGTGGCCATGGTTGCCCAGAAAGCCCCAGAGTGCCAAACGGAACAAGCAGCTTGGCTGTGGACGCCCTTGCGTCCTCGTCCGAATGGAGCACCAGTGCGCCATCGTTTGTCCCCAAGGCTGGCCAGCTCTCTGCCTTCAACGCCTTCTGCCTTCGACGCCCTAGCCCGCTCAGCTCGGGACCTGCGACTCGGGGGTGATGGCTTCGACTGGCACCCTCGAGACTGGTCGCCAGTGTGCCCGGGGGTGGTGCGCGGGTTCAGGGCGACGCAGGCGTCGGGGCTCTCGGCAGGCGTCTTGCTTCCCCAAGCAGTGTTTGCTTTTAGGGGTTCGCACCAAGGGACTGGCTGCGTCCGCCGATGTTTCCCCGCGTCGGCGCCCGTGGCCGCCTCGTGGCCACCTCGTGCGTCGGGTGGGTCCAGCGAGGTTTCGTCACGTGCACCACACAGCCTGTACAACTGCAGTGCGAAAACACACTGCGTGGGGTCCACGCTGACTAACACAGTTGGATTGCATCCTGAGTCAAAACCTGCATGCTTGCTTGGAGCACATCATGTTTCTTGCTTTGCGTGAGTTGTCGTACGTACATCGGCGTCACCCCAACATACTTATACTATGTGTGCGTCGCACCCCCAGGGTCGACGCTCGCACCGAGAAATCTGATAGTATATGCGTCGTGGCGGGCGCGTTCTGGCCACACCGCTCGGGAAACGATATACTACAAGATGGGTATACTAGATGTTCGGGTCGGACGCACGCCTCCAAGGAGGACATATAGTACTATGTCCTTGTGCCCCCCAGTACACGCTTGGGCTCGTGCGCGCATGCTTCGGGGCGAGCTGCTGTCATTGCGATCATCTGCCTCGCGCTCTCCTGGCCAAAGAAGGGCCGCGCGGGGTTTGGCGGCAGGACCGCGGCGTTCGTGGGTTGCCCTGGTCCCTTTGAGGGCAGGCTAGGGGCGAGGTGGGGCAAGGCACCGACCAGCGCTTGCGGTGCAACATCAGCGACTTGGGAAACCACTTCCTCCTCCTTTTCCTCCTCCCCCTCCTCCTCCACCTGCCCCTCCACCTCCATCTTCCCCTCCTCCTCCTCCTCCTTCTCCTCCCTCCTCCTCTATCCTCCTCCTCCTCCTCCTCAGCCCCCTGCGCCCAGGGGCAGCAGGGGGCGGGGAGGCTGGGTCTGGGCTGACCAGGGAGCTCACCGCCGACAGCCCGGCTCTCGCGGTCAGCTTTGGTGTTGGCGTGAGGGCTTGTGCGGGGTACTGACCCTGCCTGTGAGTCTGCCAGCTCGGGCCCCACACTGCACACGGTCAAGGCCAGACTTCCCGCGCGCGTGCACGAGGCCTCCGGGAGGATCTCAGCGGCTGCAGCCTACGACCTGGGTTCCGAGGAACCGCGAGCTGTGAGATCTGATGTGCATGCTTCAGGAGGGAACAAACAAAAACACAGAGACACACTTACTCGTCGAGTCCCCCGAAAACATGGGAAATTATGGGAAGTGGGGGGGAAGACGAGAACCCAGAAAACGTGGGAAACGATGGGGAATCCTGCTATTTGTGTCTATCTGTTTGTGCGTCCCCGGGCCCCTTCGAGGTTGGTGTGGCGCGTCACTGCCCGCAGTGCCGGCGCGTGAGCATCGCCCCTGCGCCTCCGCCAGGCGCCAAGAGGTGCAGGGACGAGCTGGACTGGGCCTCCGAGGGAGCGCCCTGCCGGCTCCTGGCGCACGGGGTGGCGGGTCGTCGCCGCCGAGGGGAGAGGAGCAGAAGGCGGCAGAGGGGCAACGGGGGCGGGTTAGCATGCAGGAGAGAGAGTTGGCAGAAGCAAGTGATCGTCGATGTCCACGACATGTAGGAGCATATGGGAGATGAAGGAGAAGACGAGAATCCAAGAATTGTGGTCCACTTACAGGACATCCTCAGATGTGTTCGTGTTTGTGTGTATGTGTGTGTGTGCGTGTGCGTGTGCTTGTGCGTGTGCTTGTGTATGTGTGTGTGTGTGCGTGTGCGTGTGCTTGTGCGTGTGCTTGTGCGCGTTTGTGTGTGTGTGTGTGTTTGTGTGTGTTTCCCTGGGCCCCTTCAAGCATGGGCGCAGACGTGGCGACCGCTGGGGAACAATTGAGAACGCGGAAGGAAGAAAAGGCGTCGTGCAGCGTCGGTGTAGACGTGGGTCCCACCTACCACCTAGATCAGAGAATCAGGACGTTGCATGAACAACTCCTTCCAGACCGAAGCGGACGATCGCCAGCGCCGCATCCCATAGCAGCATCCGTCCAAGCTCGCGGAGCGATGCTTTACCGCCTGAACATGGTTTACGTGATTTCATCATTCGTCACATCCATGAGACGACAAACGCGTATATTGTACGTATTGTTTTGATTGCGTATGTTCGTCCCGCCGTCAGCTTGCTTGGAGGAGAAGACTTGTACATGAAGGATTGCTTCGACCTGCTGGGTGCGGACCGGCTGCCGACCGAAGCGCTGCCGCCCTCGCTTGCTGTTTTCAGTCTCACACCACTGGTCCATCAGAACAAAGACTACCTCGCACGACCGTCTTGCGCGCATGCTCGTATGTCGTTGGATAAATGTAATGTCGGAGACGCCTACGGCGAATCACAACCGCCCCCTGAAGGTCGACCGCGCCAACGTGGCAAAACGTTGGGCCACAGTCTGGCCAAACCATTGGACTAATTATGTGCTCCCCAACCGTTGTGGAAACACATGGGAGTGGAAGAGAGGAGGAGAAGAGGAAGGATGAGTAGGAGGACCAGTGTAAACCCAAGACTCAAGACTCATCAACGATATGCATTCCAATGAACCTCCGTCCGAGCTCCTAGTTGGTAGACCCCTACAAGGATTCATTTTTTCTGAAGGCAGTGCCCCGTTGGAAAGCAACCGCTTGACAATTCTGAAATGTGCCAGAACATCATTCCTGGGACTTCAGTGCCGGGAATCACCGCGACTGCTGCGTCTTGACGATCCAGACTCGTGCCAGAACACCAGGAACACCGTTCTTGGGACTTCAACACCGCGAACCAACGTAGCTGTTGCGCCCGGGTAGTCCGACATCATGCCAAAATCCCGGTTTTGGGACGCTAGCCATGATCGTATTTACAGCTGTTGAGAGCTCTTAAAACGAATGTGCGCGGCATTAAGGCGAGGGCAACCTTTTCGAAAAGGAACCGCCCTCCATCTGTGAGCTCTTGCAACTTTCAGTTAAGACGGATGCGCGCGGCGCTAAGGCAAGAGCCACATTTTGAAGTCCACCCGCCCGCGATTCAAGAAGCCCTGGCAAATGTTTGAGTCGTGTGTGGGCAACGCTAATGCGAGAGCCACAGTTTGAAAACCTTTCGCTCTTCATCAGTGAAGCTCTTGCATGTTTAAAAGACGGATGTGCGCGGCGCTCAGGCGAGAGCGACATTCTGAAAACGACCCACCCTCCACTTGCAACAATATTGCAGGTTGTAAGTTTCAGGGCCGCAAACGGCGAGATAACCTTCGACTTTTCGACCGGCTTCGGGGTGCGACACGGAGGAGTTAGTTGTAAGGAGAAATGGAATGGAGGAGGAGGAGGAGGAGGAGGAGGAGGAGGGTCCGTAGCCATTTTGGCTCAAGGGGCCTGCTCCTTAACTTCCCAACCTCGGCTCGAGGAGCCAAGTGTGCTGTGCGGGGGGCCACGGCCTCACCCTTCGGGCGGCGTGCGGGGGCGCGCTATGCCAGCGCATGGTTCTCGTGCTGGGAATTGGTGTTGTGGGGCGTGCGGGTGCAAAGCGAACAAGCACTGGTACACGTGGTGCAAGCACTGCGGGCGCCAGTGGTCAGGAGTCGGGGAGTACCAAGATCACCAGTCTTGGGCCAAGGGAGTGTGGGGTGCACGTCAGTCCGCTCTTCCTGGTGCTGGGGATCCTGTCTCTGCTCCTGGGGCTTGGTCAGCTTCTAACTATCGCTCGTCAGGGATTCCAGGAAGTTCCAAGGGCGAGCTCAATTCTGCCATACAGCTCCTTGAGGCCAATTCTGACTTCGAGGCAGCCAGCAAGTATCGTGAGAAGCTTCGTGCCCTCGAGCAGCCGCCCAAGCTGCAGTGGGGGCCCGCGAAGCAGGAGATGGAGAGGTGCCAGGCCGCTTTGGATCGTGCAGTCAGTAAAGCCACTAACTTGCAGGAGTCTCTCGAGCAAGCGAAGAAAGACAGTGCCAACGCGTTCGTGGCCCTCGAGAGGGCCAAAGAGCAGTACGCCACAGCAGTCAGGGAGCTCGCCTCGTCGGTCCAGCAGCCCCAGGAGCCCCAGCAGCCCCCTCAGCCTACCAAGCCTGTACTATCCCTGGAATCTCTCATGGACGGGTGTCTTGAGGGCGTTCAGTTGGATGACGGCGGCCTATTTGGGCTGGAGGAGGCAGGGTGGGAGCCATCGGCTGAAGAGGTGGAGGAGGCTAAGAAGAGGAAGGAGCACCTGGCCACGTGTTTTTAAGGAGGCAGCGCTGCAGGCATTTGGGCCCTTTCGAGAGCAGGCCAAGGAGGCCACCACTCAGCAAAAGGAACTCAAAGCCAGGCTCGCGGCTAAGAAGCGTCGTACGGATGAGGGGTCGACTGCTGGCGGTGGTGGCGGCGTTGCTCCTGGGGGCTCTGTTGGGCAGCAGCAGCAGCAGCAGCGCCAGCAGCCAGCTCAGCCCGCCCCAGCAGCCGAAGCAGCAGCAGCAGCAGCAGCACCTCAGCCAGCAGCAGCAGGCAACACGTCCCCCGACGCGTGCCCTGGGCCTCCCCCCAAAGCCACCGAGGAATTGTTTGCGGCAGCCAAGGCTGCAGCCAGCAAGGGGGGGGGGGGGGGGGTCAAGGGACGTAAGGGAGGTGGAGCTGCGACTGCGGGAGGAGGAGGCAGCAGCGGAGGTTTGTCGCCCGCAACAACGCAGGCGGCTCAGAGTACAGGAACGCGAGGGTAGCAGGGTCGGGCGTACTCGGCCCGATGTGTTCACGGTCCTGACGGCCAACACCTCAGAGTGGTGCAGCTGTCAGAAGTTCTTCGAGAAGGAGGTGGCAGGTGCTGCCGTTGTTTTGTTGCAGGAAGTATGAGTGCACCCCTCCGCCAAGGATGAGAAGGAGGCTAAGGTGAAGAGCTGGTCTTGGCCAGCCATGCTTAGTCCTAGCCGTATCACTGAGGCGGGGGGGTTGTCAGCAGGCGTAGGCATCGCTGTTCCAGCTCATGTCGGGATGTCGGCCGCGCCGTGGGAAGGTAAGCCATTGCCCTCTGCTTCGAGAGTCTTGATGGCATGGGTTAACAGTATTATTCCAGGGGGGGTCCCAGCTGTCTCGCTGCATTTGCCTACAGGGCCCCCCCCCCTGGGAGAGGTCGGTTCGCAGATATTGTTCAGGCTGGGAGAAGTGCTCCACTCTTTGCGTCTGCCTTACGTGGTAGGCGGAGACTGGAACTGCCCACCGTCGCAGCTCAGAACGTTCGGCTGGGTTAGCAAGGTGGGATGACACATTGCAGCATGCGGGTCAGCCACGTGCAGGAAAGGACATGTTTGAAGGGAGCTGGACTATTTCGTGGTCTCGTCAGGCCTTGCCCCTTCGAGAGAGTTGAGCGTGTGCAGGATTCGTGTCTGTCACCTCACTACCCTGTGGCCTTGCGGTTGAGATCACATCTTGTGCGCACAGAGTACCTGGCGATGGCAGGCCCCAGGAGATTCCCAGCCCAGGCTCCGCAGTTGCCTCTGCCTGCCCCGCCTGACTGGGGGCCCATTGAGGAGGTTTTGCTTCACTGGGGAGAAGGTGAGTCTTCGTTGAGCGAGCGCCGTGGGCAAGTAGCATTGGATCGAGTGTGCCAGATGTTATTTGATCTCGTGGGGACGGAGCTTATTTCTGCGCATGGGATCCAGGGCCCAGATGAGAGGAAGTACCGTGGTCGAGGACGAGGGTGGAAGTTGCGCAGGGTGCATGAGCTGCAGACATCAGGAGGCCCGTATGCTCTATCTTGTGCCAAGGCTCGTGGTTGGAGGAAGGTCTCGATTCGCCTTCAGGAATTGGCATGCATTGTTCGTCGCGCTGAGGGTGTGTTCCCGCAGCATTGTTTGTCACTGATATCCAAGACCATGGGCAGTCGGCCACCTGACGAAGAGGTGGACTTTTGGAGACGTTGGTGTCCATCTTTCGAGGGCATTCTGGCTCTGGCAGACGGGCAGCTGGATGGGTATTCGAGAGAGGCAGCCTACTTCGCATCTTTGCTGGGGCAGGCCTTTGCGAGGGCCAGAGGCACAGCTTGGAGGAGGTGGGTTTCTGAAGCATGTGAGCACGGAGCGGGTAAAGCCCACCGATTCACGAAATCGCTTGTGGGATGGAAACCTTCCGCGCCTGGACCTGACGGGGCCCCCTTGGGGCTCGGTGAGCAAGTTGAGAGGTTACAGCATGAGTGGAGCGAGATCTGGGGAGCATCGGCGCCCGTCGAGGACGCGGGCGTGGAGACGGCCAGCGGCAAGATCGACCCGCTCAAGTGCCTGTCCATCATGCTGGAGAGGGAAGGCTTTGACCCGCAGGAGGCCGCCAGCATCCCGCCCTTCGACTGCCACACCATCCGCAGGGTGGCCAGGACTTTCAAGGAGCGGACGGCTGTCGGGGCCGACAGGTTGAGCCCTCGCGACCTGATGTATCTGTCGGACCGTGGCCTCACAGTATTGGGCTTACTGTGGCATTGGATGCTGGACACGGGCAGGCCCCCCTCCCAGGTTTCATTGATCACGATTGCAATGCTCGAGAAGCCCGAGGGCGGATTTCGGCCCATTGGTCTCCTGCCCACCGTGGTGAGAGTGTGGGGACGCTGTGCCAGATCGGTCGCTCGTGAGTGGGAGATGAAGAATAAGCGTGATTTCTTTTATGGTAGCACAGGCATGTCGTGTGAACGTGGAGTCTGGGAGCAGGCCTTCACTGCAGAGCATGCGCGGATTACGCGCACATGTGCAGGGGCGGGCTTGCTCGACTTGTCCAAGGCGTACGAGAGAGTGATGCATGGACATTTGACCGATGCGGCCCAGATGACGAAGTTCCCATTGGATATACTCCGATTGATGCTGCGTGTATACCGTTGTCCTCGTCGCCTCGTGGTAGGCCAGGTAGCATCAGCGCCAGTCATGTCGGAGCAGACGATTGTTGCAGGGTGCACGTTCGCCACTACTCTTCTGAAGGTGTTATTGATTCGCATGTTGGACTGTGTGAAGGAGGAATTTCCTTTCGCGCGTGTGTACAACGTGGTGGACGATATCACGGTACGTGTTCGTGGTAGCAGGAAGTGTGTGCGTGACATGCCGCCAGTTGTCGTCGGCTTCACCTGCAGGAAGCTCGAGGAGTTGGACCGTGAGGGCTAAGGGAAAAGTCGCGTCGACCCACCCTGATGTCGTCAAAGTTTTGAGCGAGCCCTGGCCAGGTGGGGGTTCACTGGAGCCTCGGTGGTGAGGAATCCCGGAGTGGATTTCAC